GCTGCTACGACAAGTGAGAGATAGCGAGGCCGTCGACAAGGCAAGTCGGCGAGGAGAAGGTGGTCGTCGTTGAGGTGGATCGACAACTAAGGAGCCAAGAAACATGCCCTAGGTAACACTTCTTGGCCTAAGAGGGGGCTGACCTGCACATCACCAGTAGGAGAGCAGCTAGCCAGAGGGAAGAACAAAGGAGGGAACTTCGCTGGCAGGAATGGAACGCCGAGGAGAGGGATCGACCAAGGAAGAAGACCGACAAAGGGGAGTTTCCGGACTAAGAAAGTAGACCAGCAAGGGAGAGTTCAGGCTAGCAAGGTCTTGGCGCCGGCGTTGGAGGAGGGACAGCGCGACGGCGAGGCCGGCGGCTCACGGTGCAGCGAGGAGGAAGACCAAGCGGCTACTTCGCGAAGAGGGGTGGAAGCTCGGGATTGGGCCGAGAGGAGTGGGAGCACAGGCTTTCCGCCGGTTGGACGAGCGTCCCACGAGAGGAGAGAGACCGACGAGGCTCGCTGATGGTGTCACTAACTGAGAGGGAGGCGTCACATGCTTCGACCAAGAAGGATAAGAGGATGGCACGGGTTCGCTGACGGCTGGAGAGGAGGCTGGCGATCGATGCTCGCCGGTGAGGGGTGGCGGCGACATAGGGTTCGCGATCGATCTCAGAGGGAGAGAGAGGGATGTGATGTTATATAGTATAATAATAATAATAATAATTATTATTATTAATTTAAAAATCGCCGCACCGTACAATTTCAACCTAGACGTGCCATCATTTTGAAATGAAGGTCCTCCCTAGGTAAAATTGATGTCCCGGACGCGCTGGTGTGGTCTGTTTCATCGTTCGGTGTTTTTTGGACCACTTTTTTGACGATCAGACACAAAATGATAATTCACGTATTTTTAGTCAACCCGCGAGGTTGTGGAAAAATGAACATCCTCCCTGATCGAAGTCGTCTGATGCATGAAATGCAGACCGGCTTTTGCGCCTAGGCGAAAGCCAAAGTCTAGCAAAATGACCTAGGCTACGTACCCTTCAACACCTGCCGAAAGGTCCTGGGTGAATGTTTGAACTGTCAGATGTTATGGACGGGCCATAAGTTGTTCTGAGTCATGCAGGTGGACACCCTACACTCGTGACATCAAAAATTGATGCCAACAACTAAGCACACAAATGAGTGAAGATAGAAGGTATACAAGTATCTGAAATAAATAATCACAGCATATGAAATTACGACTAATATGCAGCTCACGAGAAGAGCTTAGACATGCCTCTATATGTAGTGACGTCGTCGCCACCCCGAGTCGAGAGGAGTGAACATCGATGCAAGGAGGCTTCAGCAGGGAGGAAGATCGATGGTCTTCAGTCAGCGATAAGGGCAACGATGCTAGCAGAATGCTTGTCAGGGTGCGGTGCTGAGAACAATGGAGTCCCCCCACTTAGGGCATCGCCCTTGCCAAAAGAATCGAGCCACTTCCCCCTTTGCTGTGAGAAAAGAATAAAAGAAATGTCATTGTGTGCTGGCAGGAGAGGTGGCCGAAGGGAAGAAGGCAGTGACAACAGGGATGCTGGATTGAAAGGTTCGGGCGAAACAATGTATTGTGAATGGAAGACCGACAAGGCTCGTCGAAGACAAATACTTTGTGTAGTGAGGGAAGGCCAGGTGTAAAGAGGGAAGTCAGACTTCACGAATGGAGCTTCGGTTGAGGAGAACGAACGGTGGCGAGCGACGCCGACGTGGAGAGATGTCTGGCGACATGCTCAGAGGTGCGAGGTGCGGAGAGGGAAGCATCGAACGAGTTGCGGTATCACCTTAGGGATCACGAAGAGGAAAAATAGGGAGAAAAGGAGCATGTCGCGTGCATGAATTTTTAGGATTTATTTATTTATTTTATTTTTATTTTATATATTTTTTTAATATTTATTATTAAAATTCCTCGAAACCGTGACAATATGGGTGCCCATCCCTGGTAAAATTGATGTTCTAAATGCACCGGTGTTGTCCGTTTCGTCATTCGTGATCATCCAAACAACTTCGTCGATGATTAAGCCATTTTAAGACCGCTTTCGCGCACGACGCAAAGAATAAGATTCATCGATCCGATCGAAGTTGTTCGATAAGTAAAATGTAGGTTGGCCTTCGCCTAAGCAAAAGCCAAAGTCTAGTTGAACGGCCCTGACTGCATGACCCTGAACACTCTCTGGAGGGCCTCAAATAGATGTCTCGAGCTACGAGAAACAACATATGCAACAATCATAATCTCGATGCACTCATGTGGACATCCCACACCTGCGACATAAAAAATTGATGCCAACACACTTAACTAAAATTTCGTTGTTACTCAAAAAAAAACTTCAATGTTTAAGAATTCAGATTCAATCTACTTAAGTGGTTCACACTCTAATTTTCATTATGGTGGCCTTCTGGAAGAAGTCCTTTTTATATGTGGTTTTTATTACTTCTGTCATCGAGACCCCCAGTGTGGTAGGTTTTGGGATCTTGTGGGTCAAACGTAGTACCCTCTTGAGGTAGCATTCCATCCGCTATTCCTGACTTTGTGTCCTTCTCGTGCTCGGGCTTGTTATCATCTCTTATTTGTGCACCTGTAGATAAGAGTGAGGATGGTTATCCTTTTATTATTGTTGTGTTGGTGGTGGGGAAGGGTAGCTTGATTTCCACTCGCTCTCGTGGGAGATCTTCTTAAGCTAGCGTGATCATTTGATCCATTGGGGAATAAAAAATGAGTTACATTATTTCGTTGATAAGTGGTTTTTAATGAATTTCAACAACTATGCTAATGTCTCCAGGCACTACAGGACGAAAGTTTAAGGAAATGACCTTCTCGTAGCCCTTGGCCAAGAGCTTCATGGGAGACTATGGGCTTCAGGTCGTGTATATCTACCATTTCAATCTGAAAATTGGTTATGAAGGTGCGCAGGGACTCTTCATGCAAATGTTGTAGTTGTAACAAATTATGAAAATTCTTTTAGGGCTCATGCATGCTAGCAAATTACCCTATGAATTATCTTTTGAATTTCATAAGAGGTAATCACTCCAAATGGTAAACTGTTGAATCATTGGAGGGCAGACTCCTTTAGGATCATAAAGAAGAGTCGATATTTCAGTGAATCATTTATCCTCATCAGACATGATAACAATTCAAAAAAAGCGACATGGTCAGATGGGTTGAATTTTTCTTGATAGAGCTCTAGAGTTGGGATCTTAAAGTCCTGGGCTGAGATCTGTCTAGAAAAAAAAACATTCTCTGGTGGAATAGGCCAAGGGGTATTGATGGATAATTGCCTATCACAAATTGGGGGTGTTGATTCTGCGCTATCTGTGTGTTACATGTCATCACTTGCACTAGAGCCAGTGATAGGGCTCTTCGGACATAGATGTTGAATCTCTTTTAAAATGTAGGAGCTGCAGACTGGGATGATGGGACTGCCCCCTAAGCAAGTGTTTCCCCGATCCTTTTCATCATCTGCTCCTTAAACTCTTGGACATGTTGTGTTATAAAATCTTTGGTACATTCCATGTTATATGTGATTTCGTGATGAATTTCTTCTCCTTGTGTTACTTATTTTCTTATTTGTGGGGTGATCTACACCCACCGTACATTACGAGGATAAACTCATATTTGTCTTTGAATCACACCCAAGGAATTGATTAAAAACAAAAGATAGAAAAATAATATATATTTTTTAAGATGGAAGAGTATGAGAGTAGGAATTTATTATAGGGTTGGAGATCATTCCAAAAAGATCATGGTTTTCATTTAATATCCTCTATTTATAATGATTGGCCCACATTAAATGAAATATTTGTGCTTATCTTAACATAGATTTCTAAGAGTGGGACCCCTGGATTCTTGTCACCCTTTTTTATCATGACTCGAAATCCTGAAATGAGTTAACCCCTTGTTGGATCGTTGAGATATAAGGGTTAAACACAATCATCTTTCAGTTCCTAGTTGCAAAAGCACAGCTTCAATCGTTTGACATCGAACAAGCTCAATTGTTTGGCTTCAGTTCTCAAATGTCAACCACTTGACATTGTTTACTTGATCTTAACCGACTTCAGTTTTCTAATCTTAGTTGCTTAGCCCCCTTCGTGTAGCTTTCCTCACACGGACATTCACAACTGACCGTTCAACTTCTTACTTTGACCCGAAACGACTTCTGTTGATGAATTGATTATGAGAACTCAGATGACTCCAACTAGGGGTGTAAACGAACCGAACACGAACGAGCAAATCTTGTGTTCGTGTTCAGTTCGTTGGAAATTTAGTTTGTTTGAAATAAACTCGTGTTCAAAATTGTTCGTGAAGTCATTGTTCGCGTTCATTTTTTAACGAACGAGCCGAACACGAGCCGTTTGTGAACGACGAGCAACTTGACATCCCTAATATTCATATATGTATAAATAATATATTATATTAATTATATAACTTATATTATATAAATATATAATATCTATATTAGTATATTACTAATATAACATATTAATATATTATTATATATATATAATTATTTTATATTTCGAATAATAACGATTCAAACACACGAGCGCATTACTCTTAGTGTTTGGTTCGTTTAACTAACCGAACGAAAAAAATTTGTTCATGTTCGTCTCGTTTACTTATCAAACGAATCTAACACGAACTCATTGTGAATCGAACTCGAACTATTCACAAAAAATAAACTTTTTTGACGGCCCTAACTCCAACCATATAAGATGTACATGTAAATAGAATCGACTTGTGCCATATGTATGTAAATCTTCAAAAATTATATATGATGTGTAGTAAATGCTTCATATTTTAATTATAATGAATGGAATAGTGATTCTGTGAAAAGCCCCACATTCTATAAATAGAACTGTGAACAATCTCCATTGATATCACTCACTCCCTCGATGCTCAGTTCCTTCCTCAACCGATGTGTGTGTATCAAATCCCTCCGTAAGTCTCACGCTGACCTCATCGTCAATGGGATCTCAGAACAAGAATCCATAGTGAGAGAATCAGTCGATAAGTATCTCTTCTTCGGCCACCCCCATTCTGCCGTCTCCCTTTACCTCACAGTAAAAAATCCCTCCTTGCTCCTTCAAAACCTAGTTCTTCAAATCTTTTCGAATCATGGCTACTATGCCGATCTACTGTCCTTGTATGCAGATTCACATAATTCAAGTTGCAGAAGATCTGATAACTACACATTTCCGGTTGTGATTAAGGCCTGCGCCGCCGTTATGGCATTTTGGGCGGGAATGCAGGTGCATGGTGCAGCTATGAGAAGCGGTCATGGTGGTCATCTCCTGGTTCAGACTGCTCTTGTAGATTTCTATCCAAAGATTGGGGTTTTGGAAGATGCACGAAAGGTGTTTGGTGAAATTTCTGAACCGGATTTGGTATCATGGAACGCACTCATCTCCGGCTGTTCTCTGAATGGATTCTATCAGGAAGCGTTTGAGTTGTTTAAAGAGATGATTTTGTCTGGTTTGAAGCCTAATGGAAGCAATTTCGTTAGTCTTATCCCTATCTGTGTTAAGCTAGGAGCTACAGTTCTCGGTTTTTCCCTGCATGTTTTAGCTCTCAAGTATGGAGTTTTAGCTCCCCAAGCTTCCGCGGTTTCTTCTCTGATCTCAATGTATTCTTCCTTCCGGGACCTTAGTTCTGCTTTAAACTTGTTTGAGTTGCAGGAGGTGAAAGATTTGGTTTCATGGAATTCGATGATTGCCGCTTATTCTCAGAACGGAGAACCAGACAAAGCATTCAAGATTTTTTGTCACATGAAATTCGAAGGAGAAAGGCCTGATTTTGTCACAATCTCATCCATTCTTTCCTCCTGTCACCTCTCCTCTATCTGCTACATTGAGTTGATTCATGCAATGGCAATCAAGGATGGATTGGTGAACGAAAATGCGGTAATAGCCTCGTTCGTGTCAATGTATGCTAAGAGTAATGAACTCCAAGCAGCCGTGCTTCTGTTTCAGAGTGCAACAGAGAAGAATCTTCTTCTCTTTAACTCTGTTATCTCTGGTTATCTTCTTCATGGCCTCCCAAGCTTGGCTCTGTCTACTTTCTCTGATATGATCATTCGAGGAGTTAATCCTGATTCAATCTCTTTGATAAGCACCATATCAGCATGTGCTGCATCTTTCGATCCACGTTCAGGAAAGTCTCTTCATGCTTACAGCATAAAAAACGATTTTTTATCAAACATCAATGTGATGAATGCTTTGTTGGCATTCTATTCAGATTCTAACCAGCTCCAATGCGCCCTTAAGTTATTCGATATAATGCAAGATCGAAATTTGATTTCTTGGAACACTTTGATATGTGGATGGGTTGATATTGGGGAAACTCACTCCGCCGTCACCTTCTTCAAGCAAATTGGTCATGAAAATCTGAAATTTGATTTGATAACATTGATCAGTATCCTCCCCAGCTTCTACAAATCAGAAAACATCGCTCTCGGGAAGTCGTTTCATGCTCTTGCGATTAAGACGGGATTCGATTCCGATACAACCTTAACAAATGCGCTCATAAGCATGTACGCGAATTGCGGTTTCGTCGACGACAGCCATGTTTTGTTTGAGACTTTAGCTTTCAGAAGCATCGTCTCTTGGAACGCTTTAATGACTGGGTACAGAAAGTTCAAATCTTCAAAACAGGTGATGGATTTGTTTCATCTGATGAAAGAAGATGGGAAGAAGCCGAATTCAGTCACGTTGCTGAACATATTATCGAGCTGCGAGACTCAGATTGGAGGAAGATCAATCCATGGATTTGCCCTTCGAAATTTTGACAGTTTAGAGATCACAGTCCATACTTCAGCACTCTGCATGTATGCCAGATTTCAGAACTTGGAATACTGTTTTCGTCTTTTTCACACTATGGATCGAAAGAATGTCGCTTCGTGGAATACAATGATGTCGATCTATCCACATGGTAAACATGCGCAAGTTTTGATTTTGTTCAAGGAAATGCTTGAATGCCGATCCAGATGTGGTAACAATGCTCAGTCTGGTTTCTGCTTGTTCTCAACTGGGTCGTCTTGATTTAGCACAATCCATTCATGGCTTTATCGTTCGAACCGGTTTTGAGAAGACGTCTCTGATCAACTCTTTCATCGACATGTACGCTAGAATCGGAAGCATTCCTCCTGCTGCAAAGAGGCTGTTTGATGAGCTGCAGGAGAAGGATTTAATCTCTTGGAGCACAATGATCAATGGATATGGAATCCATGGAGAAGGACAAGCGGCCATTAAAATTTTCCTAAAGATGGAAGAAACTGGTGCGTCGCCTGACGATGTAACCTTCGTCAGCATCCTCTCTGCTTGCAGTCATGCCGGTTTAGTTGAAGAAGGGCGGCTGTTCTTCAAATTGATGGTGGAGAAGCATGGAATCGCCCCGAGAATGGAGCATTATGCATGCTTAATTGATCTCTTCAGCCGTAGCGGGGATCTGATCGAAGCCTTGGATCTTGTTAAGACGTTGCCGGTTAAACCTTCGGTGGAGTTACTAGAATCCTTGCTCGGGGCTTGCCGCTGCCATGGCGAGTCCAAAGTAGGAGAAGCGGTTGGAAAGCTGTTGATTGAGCTCCATCCCAGTACGAGTTCGTATGTGATGCTCTCGAATATATATTCGGCGGCGGAGAGATGGGAAGATTCGGGGAGATTGAGGTTGGACATGAGAGCGAAGGCGTTGAGGAAAGAGCCTGGTACTAGCTTTGCGAGCATGGGGTGACAAAGCAGCGGTCTTTATGCATATATTTACCGGGCAATCAGAAGAAAGGAAGATTTACATGCATACCACTCAATTGTTATCTATTTACATATCTAACACTTAAAATTTAATTTTTACATACATACCGCCTTACATATGAATGATAAGGTGAATTTCAGTTTTTAAAAAATTTAGAAAGTGGTATTTTTCATGTGATATGAAAGATTTGGGTAATATAAATGTAAAAAGCAAAGTATATATGTTAGATGTGTAAATACATAAGTCTTGGGGGGTATGTATGTAAATGGCCCAAAAGGAAAACCTTTCTCAGAGCAAGGAAGATCTCCTTGTTATGTGGTGGGCGACTTCAATGGCTTCAGTGATTTTGGCAACTTTGATTAAGAGGAAGCTAAGGGAGGGAAAGAGGGAAACAAGGGGTGATATATTGTTTTTCTTTCACCAACATCTTTTTCTATCTCGGAGGAATTTGGTAACTCTCAACCCTATTTTTTTTGCGAAATTTACATGCATACTACTCAATTCCTATGTATTTATTTGTCTAACACCAAATCTTCAATTTTTTTTACATACATACCAATATACCACCTTACCAATGCAAGAAAAGATGAATAATGGCATACCAGTTGGCTTAGTGAGATCCTTACATTCTTGTAGAGTAATAACATCTAATTATTAAGGTTATGATTATATATACTTATTTATTTAAAGTGTCCGTGAGTGTTGATTAAAATCTATATGCATGAATAATAAATTTAATTTATACATATGTACATAATTTTAGACTATAGTATATTGACTTAATTATATGTGCAACTCAAAATATAACTAAGTCATTAATTTAGATGAAAGGATATCAACTTGTTTATTGCCAACGAATGTCTAGCGGGTTGCTTTAACAACGCCGCTCTTAAGAATTTTGTATTATAAGATTATTAGAATTTATGGGATTGAGAAATAATTAATTTGGGTTAATGTTAGATCGGTGCCTACAACACCGTTCTCCTCATGCTCCATTAAGTCGACGATGAGCCCACTAAAATAATTTGAAGACTTATATCAGGCGTAAGACTAAAATGATAATTTAGTCATTTGTTAGATATAATATTGAGGTATAAATATGACTGTTATGTTTTGGGTTATTATTAGAATTTAATGAGATTGAGAAATGATTAATTTTGGTTAATATTAGATCAGTGCCTACGACACCGTTCGCCTCATGCTCCATTGAGTCGACGCTGAGCCCACTAAAATAATTTGAAGACTTATATCAGGCGCAAGACTAAGATGACAATTTAGTCATTTGTTAGTTATAATTTTGAGGTATAAATAGGGCTATTATGTTTTGGGTTAGAGGATTTGTGATTGTTATCTTTAATCTTAGGGTTGAGTTTTGGAGGATTGCAATCCTCTCAAATTGTAGGTGTTTATCTTTTAAATTAATTCAGCAACTCTAGATTATGCAAAGAGAAAAGTTGTCGAGTAGAGACTATAATTTTACACTCTATTAGCTGATCTTCCAAGGCTAATATTTGCTTTGCATTGACATTATACATCTGTCTATATTTGTCTTGAATATGCATGATCTTTGATAACTCTGTATTCCACGCTTTTAAGGAAATGTTAAACTCAAGCTCCAAATCCGTACTCTTCATTATCTAAAGCAGAAAGATGTATGTCAGACTTGAAAAAAATCCAATATAAAATAAAAATGATTACATATTCTTCAACCCGTGCAAGCACCGTGCACTTTTGATTCAACATTTCCTCAGGAATATGATTCTTCAAAAGATTCATCAAAGAAAACTCTGATACTTGTGGCACTTGCCCAGATTTATCCTTAACTTGCTCGGACCCACTCAACATCACATAGTGGTAGTCTCGTCACATATTTGTTGAGGTAATATATTTCATGTTAAAGTTCTTCAATATTTCAAAATCAGAGGATTCTCAACATGTCCTCTTCGGAAGCATGAAAAAGAGATGGTAGCATTTTCAGTTTTCTTTTTTTCTCACGGAGACCCCAGTCCTTTTCACAAAGAAGAATTGATTTGCCCAATTTTTTTTATCATCCCATATTTGAAATTTTAATATTTCGCTACTATAAGTGATACATTGTTAACATCAGAAGCGAACTTGCCCATCATCGCCACTATTTTTAATGATAATGTTGCATTATTCTCCCTAAAGATGACAATTAATATCATAATGATTGTCATAGTCGGACAAGAAAGTCGGGAGAGGTACTTCATATGTTGATAACAAGCTCACTAACTCAGGAACTGGTGGAAACCAAAGGCCAGCGCACTAATTTGCCTCGTAAAGTTTGATACATTCAGGAGGAGGTGAACCGACTCGATCAAATAGCCCGAGAACTTAACTATCATGTCATTTGGAAAGTGGAACACCTTCCGGACAAGCATCAAAGCATCTTCAATAAGTGTCGATGTCGCCTCGTTAGGGTTTTGATATTTTTTGTGATTTTCGAGGGGTTGGAATTTCTTAGGCATGGGGTTCGCGGAGAAAAAAATCAAGCACAATAATTCTCTTATTCAAGGCGACGATAACTATTTCTGTGGAGACAATAACCTTCTTTTGCAGAGGCGACAACAACCTACTTCCAGTGGAGGCAACAACTTATTTTCGGGGAGAAACAATAATCTACTTCAGAGGAGACTACAGTGGCAGCACATTTGAAGATTTTGGATCACCAAATGAACTCCAAATTTGACATAATTTTATTCAAATCAAGTATCTCGATGAGAAGAATCTAAAGAGCCTAAGTCCCTTAATTTCGAGGACATTAAGGTCCTAGAATCATTAAAAAAATCCCTTATGATCAAGGGAGATCAATTTGGGTTGTTTGATCAAGTGGTCAAGGAAGTTATTCACAGAATGACCAAACCACATATTAAATAGTTCCCTTATCTTCACTTAGGGGAGGAAATTTCAAAGTTTGTTTTGGACTGAAGACCCGACAATAAATTACTGTCGTCAATTACTATCATCAGAGACCCCCTGCTTGCTAATGTTGTGTCTTAAATACAATTATAATGTATAACGTCA